CCCCCCCCCCGAAAAAGGGCTAAAGCCCCTTTCCCACTGGCTAATCTCTCCCTGTTTTATGGAGACCAAAGACAGAATGTCCTTTGACAGGTGCTTTTACCTTCCCGGAGAGGTTTTGCTCTCCATGAGAGCATCCCCAGTGCTGCCAGAGCAAGCCAGCAGTGAGAGCTGGCCTTTGGTGAGGGATGGCAGATGTCCCCTACACAACTTCTATTTCCTTGATGGTTTTTGGCACTCTGTGTTGGTTTTCCTCACAAAACCTGTGGGTTTGCCCCAGAAGACCACACTGGAGGCTCTTCCAGACCCCGGGGCATCACAGCCTCCCTCTTCTTTGCAGCCTGAGTGTGTTGCTGTCCAATGTGGGGCTGTTTGTGCTCACACCAACACCATCTTGTAACTTTCCTTCTCCCTGATACCTTTTCCCAGCTGTTACCATCCACCAAGGTTACATCCTGCCCAGCCAACCATGGCTTTTCTCTGTCCTTCCCCTCCCCTTTGTTGTTCATGATGGATAGCAAAGATTGGAAGTGACAATGCAGGCATTCCCCCCCTTCATCTCTGTGTGCATGATCAACAGGTCCTGTCCATCCTGGAAAAGTGGGTTATGGGGAAGAAGAAAAAGCTGGAAGCCACAACCATAGATGGGCATGGTGACCTCCTCCAGGCCAGCTCTGAGGCTGGGGGCCCCTGTCCAGATCAGCAAGGATAGGATCACCCTGTGTCTCACCAGCACAAGCCATGTGAACGTCCAGCTGAAGCAGCCATGCAGACCCCTCTCAGTGCTGGAGCAGCCATAGTGGCCCCTGCTTTGGCCTCTGCCGGACCAAAGGAAGGTCTGGCAGCACAGAGAAGGTGGTCACCATCTTTCCAAGCCCATGGCAAAGAGCCTAATGCCCCAAGGATGTGAGGGAGGGGCTGCTATTTATGGAGAAACCCCAGGAGCGTGGCAAAGGGCCACCTTCTCCCTTACAGCCTGGTTTTCTTCCAGCTGGGATGGGGTCTCCCAGTGAGGTAGAATCTGGGATCTTTGCAGGGTGCAGTAGCAGCTGGGAGCATCTTCGCCAGGTGCCGGGTTTTGGATCAGCCAAGGGAAGAGGTTTCATCTGGGTTTTAAACCTGATGGGACAAGACACGCACAATGCCACCAAGTGATGGGTCATGTCTTGAGGACCAGAGACACAATGGCCTGGCTACTGGCTCCACTTCTCTGTGGGATGCGATGGCCTAGGAGAGGCTGGCTTACACTGATAGAGAGCTACCTGCCCAACCTGGCACGCATGCATGCACCCCTGTGTGCTGGCTGAGCTGGGCTAAGAGGATTACAGCCACATTATATGATGTTACCATGCCAGCCATGGTCAAGCAGTCTCATGAGTGGCGGGGGGGAGAGGTCCAAGCTCCTTCCTACATTGTTCCCTTCTCATGGGAAGCTGCACATGGGAGAAGAGCCAAGGGATGACCTGAGTGCCCGAGCATCCCATCCTTGCTCTGTCTCTGAAGCAGCAGAAAGTCATTAAGAGCAGGCAAGATTCGTTTCACAGTAACAAACTCAATGGGTGCTCTGAGAAGGGAGGTACAAAGTCAGCTGGAGGCTCTTGGAGACCTGCCTGCAGATGTGGGGTTGTAGTTTCAGCACTCCCCACAGTGGTGCAGGCTGGGCATGTCCTTATTTAACCTCTTACAGTGACAGCATGCTGAATTTTCTCTTTTCTCTCTCCTTTCTTCCCCCATTGGGGCTGATGCTGAGTGTAGCAGGAGCTTCCAGCCCGCACGAATGGCTCGGTGCCCACCACCCCAGCGCTTGCCCGTGATGCCCTCCACACCAAGATGGAGCAGCTGGAGGAGCAGCTCCTCTCCAAGATCCTGACCCTGCAGAAGGAGCGCCAGGCTGCCAACACCGACCGCAGCCAGCAGCAGCATGACATCGAGAAGGAGCTGAACTCCCTCCAGAACCGGGTGACGGAGCTGGAGCATGGTGAGTCCTGCCCAATGGGGATGGAAGTGGTGCAGGGGGGTCCCTACCCCAAGGTCCATCTCCAGGAGAGCCTCAGGACAGGCCACTCTCATCCCAATGATGGATGCTGACCCTTCTCTCTCTCCTCACCATCCTTGGCATGCAGGACCACCGGGCTATAGCCCTCCCGATGCCTTCAAGGTGACCATCCCAGTACAGAACAACTACATGTATGCCCGCATGAAGAAGAGCCTGCCAGAGCTCTATGCCTTCACCATTTGCATGTGGCTGAAGTCCAAGGCCCTGGCAGGGCTTGGCACCCCTTTCTCCTACTCTGTCCCAAGTCAATCTAATGAGATCGTGCTGCTGGAGTGGGGCACCAACCCCCTGGAGCTGCTCATCAATGACAAGGTCAGCTTTGGGACCAAGGGAAGGAAGCTGTGCTCTTATCTCCCCTGCTTCAACCCCCATGGGAAATGATGCTCCTGGGGGTACTGGTGCGGGGGAGCTGGGAGGAAGGGGCCTGGGGTGGAGGGGCGAGGCAGGAGGGTGAGGAGCATGGTAAGGATGGCTCACTGGCATGAATTTTGAGAGGGACAAGCAGCACATCAGGATGTCTGTAGAATTTGGGGTGCCACCACTGTGGGTGTGCACCACTTGCTCTACAAGGGGCTCGGGGGACAGCAGGGTCCTCCAGTAGTCCCACAAGTGCCGGGATCTTGCTTGTCTCATGAAGGTTGCCCAGCTGCCGCTGAGCCTGAAGGACAAGGCCTGGCACCATGTCTGCGTGGCATGGACCACCCGGGATGGCAAGTGGTCTGCGTACCAGGACGGTGAGCAGCGGGGCGCCGGCGAGAACCTGGCCTCCTGGCATGCCATCAAGCCCCAGGGTGTCATTATCCTGGGCCAAGAGCAGGTATGTGCCAGCCCGACACTGAGAGCTACTGGTTCACATCACTCTGGAGTGAAGTCATCTGGGGGGGCGTAGCCCCTAAATGTGATGAGGGCAAGGGGTGGCATGGGCAGGACCCCTCAGCACAGAACACTGGCAGCTTGGGTGAGGGACTCTCCTGCCTGCTCATCTGACTTCCTGTTGGGTCACGTGCATTCATCTTCTCCTCTTCCCTATCCCCATCCCTCTGTCACCCATTCACTCCCCACCTTGTCTTCTTGCATCTCCCCCACAGGTCCATCCTCTCCCCTCCTTGCCTTCGGGCATCTCACTCTGCTTCTCCCCAGACTTCTCTCCTCCTTGCTCTGGCTGCCCACTGCATGCATGTTTCTTCCTGCCCCATCACCTCTCTTGCTCTTTCCTAGGACACGCTGGGCGGCCGCTTTGATGCCACACAGGCCTTTGTTGGGGAGCTGGCACAGTTCAGTGTGTGGGACCACATGCTGGCACCGGCGGAGATCCTGGGCTTGGCCAACTGCACTTCCCACCTCCAGGGCAACGTGATCCAGTGGGATGACCAGGCGGTGGAGGTCTTCGGGGGCGCCAGCAAGGGGGGCTTCGCTGCCTGTGAGGAAGGGAGGAAGGCATGAGCGGTTCCTTGTCCCCTCCCCAGCACCAAGGAGCCTGGTGGCAGCCCTGAAAGCAGGGAGCCCCTTTCTCCCCTCCCAGACCACCTAGCCTTGCCAAGGCGATGCTCAAGCCCCCCTTGCTGGCATCCCAGGAGGGAGGGAGGCCCCTGGCAGCCTCCCTCTTGCCCCCATGTCAGTGGTGTGGCTTGTTCTCGCTCCCAGCACACCTGCCCTTGGGTCTCATCTTGCCCTGCTTCTGTTTCAGAAGGACCTTGCCATACCCACCGGCATCTCTGGTAGGCAAGTATCCCCACCTTATCAGCCCCAACAGGGACTGGGAAGGAAACCTCCATCCACCTTGAGCATGGTCCAGCCTTGGTGGGATGCCAGCGTGCAGGCACCCCCCGAGCACATCCCCTTTCCTTATTTATTTCTAGTTCCCCGCTACATAGTTTTGTAAGCCCGTACTCCAAAGGAGCCCAAAGGCTTGGCCAGGAGCATCTTCTCCTCCAGCCCCATCCCCTCTTCTCCTCCTGCCCTGGTGGCCCAGGAAGGCCAAGGGAGGATGGTGGAGGGTTGGTGGGGTAGTGGTCCCCCCCACACCCTTCCCCTGCCTCCACTGCCTGTTCAGGCAGGGCTGCTGCCTGAGGGGAGTCAGGCTTTTGAAGCAGAGGGAAGCACAGTGTCCACACCCCCACACCCCCCCCAGGCTGTGGGGTCAGTTGGCAACTGAGGGAAGGGGGGGAAAGGGGCAAAGCACCTCCTCCATCCTGGCCGAGGGGGAGAGAGTGCAGCACTGCTGTTGAAGGCAGTAAAAGCAAGAAAGGAGATGGAGGATGGTGGTGATCAGAAGAGCCCTGCTGTCCATCTCTCAGCCTTTTAGGTGCGGCATTGGGTTGCTGCCCTTGCGTCCACCTGGGTCCCCTGCTTTCAGCTGCTCCTGGTCGGGGACAGGGCCACCACTGGCCCTGGAACAGGGACAGCAATGGAGTGGGCTGGTATTTTCCCTGTGGAGTGCCTGAAAATACGCTCTTTCCACACCATATGGTCACCAACATCTCAAACCATGAGAGTGTGTGTGTGTGTGTGTGTGTGTGTGTATGTATCTGGGGTGGGGAGGGTTATTTCGGGGGTCTCATGGTTGCTTAATGCGATGTCCAGCTTCCAGTGCTCCCCCTACCCCAAGTCCCACTTTGTGCTTTCGATGAGAGCTGCCCCCATGCCCAGGGAAAGCGAAGCAGGCAGAGGGGACAGCCCCACCCTCCAGCATCGCCCCCTGGCAGGGTCCCCGCCGGCAGTGGGCAGCTCAGCCTGCCAGGGGGGATGCAGCAGGGACGGGGTGCAGCCCTTGTGCCAAGTGGGAAACACTGTGACCTTTGTGCACCCAGCCAAGCTGCCCCCTCTTCCTCGCTCGCTTGTGTGCTTTCTCTAATGCACGTTCGTGAAAGGGGCCCTCGTAGTGCGCCTGTGTTGGGACATTTCTTTTGTAAAGCTGATCGTGAACAATAAACGTGATGTTTTCTGTTCAAGCCTCCCATGGAGTGTGACGTCGCTGCAGGGATAGAGGGGACCAGACAGCCCAAGCCAAGGTGTCCTTCCACGGGATGCTCAGGGTGGTGTCCTTGGAGGGAGATGACCAGACCCGCAGCTGCATAGCTGGCATTACAGAAATATCCTTGCAAGGGTCTGGGTATTGTTGCCCCAGGGTAGGTGGTGGTGTAACAATTTGGCCTCCTCTCATCTACCCAGTCATGGAGCAGCATGGGGTACAGGCTGCTGCCAGGGGGTTGGGGGAAGCACCTCTCCACAGAGGAGGAACCCCCATCCCAACAACAGGGAAACCAGTGGGAAATCACAGCCTTCATGTCAGACCAAGATGGCAAGGAGCTCATGTCAGGTATAAATCTAACTGAGTACTAATAGTGAATTCCTGACCTAGCTAAGCACAAGGTGGTTATTACTCTTATTTTACTCTCAGCACAGCTCTTAGAGCCACCTATTCTTGAGCAACCTGTGGCCAGGTCTGCACGATGCTTTGCCCCTCAGTAGGTCCTGTCCCTCCTAGGAAAGACACAACCTCACCAGTATTTGGGGAAAACAGCATAAAGCCAGAGGACTCAGTTTTCCCCAGGGGCCTGCCATTGCTGCCATTCTAGTGGGGTCTCCTCACATCATCCCCCAGCTCCCATTTCTTCTGGAGGGTATTTAATGCTATAAAACAAAGTCTTTGGGCTCTCACCTTCAGCACTTCTCAAAGTTGAAGGGATTTTAAAGAAACGAATAACTCTGAGTACATACTTCAGTTGGAGCACATGCTCAAAGGGCTTCATTGAGCTGTAGATTCACTCCAACATCATTAAGAGGAGGGGGTTCAACAAGTGACCTCTGCTTGTGTGCCCAAATAACAGCAGCATAATTAGGAAGGACAGTGCTTTTTAGAGGAGGAAACGTCCAAAACTATTGCTAGGTTCGCAGACAAGAGGAGATGAAATGAGGGGGGGGAACTCATCAAGAAGACCCTCCTATTAAAGCTGCAGGAGCCCTGTGAGGGAGCTTTTAGGGCTGCCAGCCAAGGCAAATGAGATGCGGGAGGATGAACAAGGATGGAAACAGCCTGGCCACTGGTGTAGGCTATTGGCATAAAACCCATCTCCTCCAGAGCCCGGAAACTCAGCCCATGCCAAAATCTGTGCAAATCCTCTCAGAAAAGCAGGAACAAAGGGGACACCAGGATATGTTTGGGTAGGGACTTCAGTGCTGTCCTCTGCCTCCCTGCCATGTCCCCGGGACATGTGGATCTGTCACTTCTGGGACGGGAGAAGGAGGGGAGCCCAGAAGCACAGCTTCTGCCAGGGCGACCTCCTCTCCCCCCAGAGGTTCACAGTCAGTTGGGCAGACCAGGGGGGACACAGTGAAACTTGATATAACTTATCCAGACATTTCAGAAGCTTATGGCAAACGCCTCCGTATAAGGCTCTTCAGAAACTGAAGGCATTACAGGGAGATTAGAAACTGGCTGGGAGACAGAAAATCAAGAGCAGGAATAAATATTTTATTTCCATCCTGCCCTGGCTCTCTGTGGGAAGCAGCAGCTTCTTCTCACCCATCTGGGGAGGCGGAGAGCAAGACGGGACAATTTATTTTTGGTAAACCAAGCCTTGCAAGAGCTGCAAACCTGTGACAGGGTTTAAAAAGTGGAGGAGACAACAAATCAATGGCATTGCTGGCTGGAAGGAGTAATTACAATGACTTACACACATTGCTTCTAAATTAACCAGGAGCACTCAGGAGAAAGCCCTGAGTCTCTCTAAGGGCAGCTGGTTGGAAAACAACGCGTTGCATGCAGAAGAGACAAGAAACAAAAAAGTCACCCTCAGGAGGTTAAAGAAGGAAAATTTTAATGACAGCAAGAAGGTTTTGTGGTTGGGGTAGGAGTGCTCAGCTGGGACGCTGTGTTGTGTCCAGATACCTAAGATGGAGGGGGAAAGAAATGGAGGAAACCCAAGAGGTGGGCAGAGCAGAGGCAGGGGCACTATTGGGCTGTGGTGGTTCAGCAGGGCTGGCACAAGAGGAGATGGCGGGCGAGACAGGCGGCATGATGGATATCACCTACATGCTCTCCTCTATCTCCCTACCAAGGGGCTGTTAGCACACTTCAGGAGGAGGAAAGGGACTGCCATTTCCCTTCCTAATTCACAGGACTCGCTGCTGCAGGGCTTTCTGCAGGCCAAGGGCTTAGCTAGGCTCACCCCAACCCCACACAGAGCTTCATCCTGCAGTGAAGGTCAAACCTGACAACAAGAAACCTTCAGGCCTGATGGCTGTGAAAAGAAAACACTGCAATTCCTGACGCCCTCCAGCCTCTGCCCAGCTTTCCGGAGGGCACCACGAGCCATGCAGGCGCTGCCTCCCCAGGCACACAGGCAGCCCTAAGAGCCCTGCCCCGGGGTGGACTCTGGGGAGCTCCTGTGCTCCCTGACACCTGTGGCCTCAGCTTTGAGCTGGCAGGTCATGCCCCCCTGCAGCATGACAACCTCCTGGCCCCCTCGAACCAGCTCAAACCAGCCTGTACTTCATCCCCAGGAGGTAACACTTCCAAAGCACACATTACTTGCAGTGCCCTAGCAATGGGGAGCTGCCTTAATTGCCTTCCTGTGCCTCCCCATCCTGCCAGGAGCCTGCTCTGCTCCCTCCCAGAGCCAGGAAGGCTCATTAAGTGTCATGTGGTGCTCACATGGGGAACACGCCATGCTTCCAGAGCATCTGGCACAGGAACGGCTCCCACATGGCTGCTACTGCTGCAGTAGCAGCCGTTACTAGAGGTAGTAGCTATCGGATCATGCGTGTGCCACTGCCTTGCCCAGCAAACCATGGGATCTGTCTGTCCCAAAGCAGGTTGCTCTCTCCTCTGGAGCAGAAGTACAGGCTGCTTTCAGCTGCCACCCGTTCCCACACACCAGCATCCCTGACTTTGCCTTCCCTCAGTTCAACACAACATCACAGTGCTCTGATCCCAATGAAACACAGCTTCAGTATTCCCATGGGTCCTCCTGAGTGCTTCTCCTGCCTCCAGAGAGCTGCGACCATATTACCCGCCCTGGGCCAGCTGTAGGGTGGAACTTGGTGTGTCCCAGGTCCCCAGCCCAGGCTCTCTGGTACTACTCAAGGTGGTGCAGAGCAGCACCCCTGGGTTGCAGCCAACAGGCAGAACAGCAATCTCTAGCCTCCTGCTTTATCCAATAGAGGAGATGGGCCACGGCAGGGCCTGTGACCATAGGAACGATGGGGAAGTCCCAAAACCTGGCCAGAAGGGGCCAAGAAAAGAAAGAGTCTGTGGGTGCCTGATGGCACCTGATGGATGCCTGACCTGATGACGAGTCAGCCTGCTGTCCAGTATCCTCCTACCGTCAATGATGGAGATGGCTAAAAGAAAGCGTGATGCAGTACATATATTATATATACATATATTTTGCAGTTGGTGGTTACATTTCTGTTTCTCAGCTAAGGAGTACAACACAATCTAATGTCAGGTGGAAAATGGCACTTCTTTGTTTTATTGCATTCTACTGTGGCTGCCAAAGGCAAAGGGCTGAAAGAGTTTCCCTCTGTGCTTAGTGGCAAATAAGAAAGGACCAGCCAGAGCAGAGCAACAATTACAGTTCCTTAAAGATACAGAGGGGCAAATTGGACCCTTGCTCTAGACTCTCCTTCAGCTACAGACAGGAACCTGGTCATTCAGTATGGAAACTAAAGACCAGGTGATGTGAAGCCGGCCGTGTATCTGCCTTTCACGCTAGCAGCTAAGGGACTGGTATGTGTCAGCTATGTAGGCCCACCGAGGCTTTGGCTTGTGGTGCTGTAGAGAGGCAGCCCACAGAAACCCCATCCAGAAACAAACTGTCCACATTTTGTTAAGCCACAGCAGATGGGGACAGGCCAGAGGGATGGTCTCCTTCCTCAGGAGGCATCTCCATCTTGCAGCCCCATGATATCATGCACCACACACAAGAAACACGGTGTTCCTATCTTTGGGTCCTGTGCAGTTTTGGGCTTGGCCATTTTTCCTTAACTTTTCAGCTAGGAGCCGCTGATGAATAATCCTTACAACCAGTCCCAGATTTTCCTGAGGGAAACACTCCCTGGGGACACATTGATCAAAACCAAAGCACATTCAATTGAACCCAGAATCACACACGCATTCATGCTCTGCTTCCCCCCCCCCCCAACACAGGCGCGCGCACACACACACACACACACACACCAGCTCACGCCAACTTGCTGCTTAGTAGCAAAAGTGGGTGAACTACATAGGGATTAAAGCATTAAAAAAAACAGCAAAAATACGGTTCTTGGATTCTTGAAAGTGCTGTGTCCACAGAGAGATTAGAGTAGCTGCCTGGAGATAAAGTAACGATGATGGAAAGATCTTCCTCGCAGAGATTCTATTCCTAATTATCTTCTCTGAAAAAAAAAAAAAAAAGTTATCTCCCAGCTTTTATCTGTCTCTTTGACAAATTTAGCTCTGTGCCTGCTTCACTGCAAGAGGCCAACGCTTGCTGAAAGGAGGAAGGAGAAGGAATAAGCGTATGAGGTAGGAGTGGTAGGAGAACAAGGGAGACAGGAGGCAGCACTTCATTTCTGTCACCACCAGTGCTAAAGGCAAAGATGAACCATCACTGCAGCGTTGTTTTTCCAAGCCCAAAGACAGCTTTGCTGCCTCCACCACTTTGTCAGGCAACTGACAATCAGGAGGTCTGATTCACTGTCATGCCAGCAAAAGAGACAAGATATTTCCCCTATGGTTACAGGGCAGAGGGGGGAGCTTAGAGATTACGGTGAGGGAAGAGGACTTCTTCATGAACTGGCAGGAGCAGGAGAGTGCCCAGCTTGTTCCTCCCCCACTCTTCTTCTCAGACAGCTAGAAAGCAATTATTCTTTCAGCAGACAGACAGCAATGAGGACATTTCAAACATACACCAGCCAGAAGACTGCATGAAAGATCAGACCGAAACGAGCCACCCTGCAAGACAAGGACAGGCCCTGATGGAAACCCAGACATCATGCCCAGCAGCTAAGGCTTTGCACAGGAGAAGTCTTTCCCCTTGGTCTTATCCTGGGGCTTGCAGTTTCTTCACCTGTACTCATTTCAGACAAATACAATCCTAGACCCACAGGAAACTGTTAAACCCTGGTTTAGAGGCAATCAGTGTTTGGCTAACAGGATGCAGAGACAACACAGGCTTCCTTGAGAGCTGAGAGTCAAGGAAAACCACAAAGCAAACAGACATTACAAAAATAAAGGCTATGGAGGGCAGGGCTGAGCTTGGTGGGGATGGAGCTATTTGCAAATTCATGACCCATCCTCATGGCATCAATCTCCCTCTTTCCAGTCACATCAACACACAAACGTGAGTGGTTGCCTCCCTCATACAATGAAAACACATTAATAAAAGAACCCTGAATTGCCCCAAACCACTCCAGCATTTATCCTCACTGTTTAAATCAAAAGGTAGAACTTGGCCCCAGAAGGGTTTCAAGTCAGAAAAACAGTAACTTTTCCACCACTAGGCAGTTCAGCTGCATGTGGGGCTCAGAGCCTGTCCCTGCAGCCAAAACCCAGCACCAAAACTTCGAAGGCAAATGCGGGGAAGCCGGCAGTCTCCTGGAAGCCCCTTTTCCAAGCCCAGGGCAGGGGAGACCCAGCAGCCCCTGAGCCAGCCCCGGAGGTGACCCACAGAGGGGAAGTGCACAGGGCCGGGCTTGGCACTGGTGGGGCACAGCTGTGGCTCCCGCGGCCACGCAGGACTGAAATCATGGGCCTTTCCCGCTCGCCACGGCGGGGCTGTTTAACGAGGCCACCTGCGGGGCCACCAGCGCCTTCCCAGCACCGGGCGCTCCTGCTCCTGCGGGGGCACCGAACCGGGCCGAGGGCGGCTTGCGACAGGCGCCCCGCAGCCACCCTACCGCCGCCATCCCAAGCCC